AACAACAACAACATGTTTACTGGAGTCAACTGCAGGAAAACAACAACAACAACAAGTTTAATGGAGTTCCGATGGACAGCGATGGACAGAACGATGGACAGAGGAATGGACAGATCTAATGACAGAGCGAAGGACAGAGCGATGGACAGAGAGACGGACAGAGCGAAGGACAGAACGACGAACAGAACGACGGACAGAGCGATGGACAGAGCGACGGACAGAGAGATGGACAGATCAAAGGACAGAGTGACGGACAGAGTGAAGGACAGATCTAATGACAGAGCAATGGGCAGATCTAATGACAGAGCGAAGGACAGAGCGACGGACAGAGCAATGGACAGATCTAATGACAGAGTGAAGGACAGAGCTAAGGACAGAGAAATGGACAGATCTAATGACAGAGCGAAGGACAGAGCGACGGACAGAGCGAATGACAGAGCGACTGACAGAACGACTGACAGAGCAATGGACAGAGCGATGGACAGAGCGAAGGACAGAGCGATTGACAGAGCGAAGGACAGAACGACGGACAGAGCGAAGGACAGATTGAAGGACAGATCGATGGAAAGATCGAAGGACAGAGCGACGGACAGAGCGAAGGACAGAGCGACGGACAGAGCGATGGACAGATCAAAGGACAGAGCGACGGACAGAGTGAAGGACAGATCGAAGGACAGAGCGATGGACAGAGCGAAGGACAGAGCGAAGGACAGATCGAAGGACAGATCGAAGGACAGAGCGATGGACAGAGCGATGGACAGAGCGAAGGACAGATTGAAGGACAGATCGAAAGACAGAGCGATGTACAGATCGATGGACAGAGCGAAGGACAGATCGATGGACAGAGCGACGGACAGAGCGAAGGACAGAGCGAAGGACAGAGCGACGGACAGAGCGACGGACAGAGCGACAGACAGAACGACGGACAGAACGATGGACAGAGCGACGGACAGAGCGACGGACAGAGCGAAGGACAGAGAGATGGACAGATCGAAGGACAGATTGAAGGACAGATCGAAAGACAGAGCGATGGACAGAGCGAAGGACAGATCGATGGACAGTTTCTTTCTGCTCGTTTCAGCTTTTTCAGCTACATTTCTAGGTACAGTGTGTTTCTGCTAATATCGGCCTTTTTTCTTTTATTTTGCTCATTTCTGTTTTTTGTCATCTATTCTCTCGGCCTATTTCAGCTTATTTTGCTCATTTCAGCTGTTTTTCTGCTGCTTTTATTTTCCTGCTTGTCAGCTGTTCAAATTCAGCTCACATCAAAAGTTCAGCCACGAACACTTTTAGCCGAAGTCTTTCAGCCAAAGTCTTTCAGTCGAAGTCCTTCAGCTGAAAGCTTTCGGCTGAAATCGTCCGCGCTGCATGTTCCCCAACTTCACTGTAACTGGAGCTACAGGTCAGTTCTGATTTGGTTTCAAACATGGTTCTGGTTTTGTTCAGGTTCTGATGTGTGCAGGGTCATGACCCCCCCCCCAGCTGAGGGGCTGACACTCACAGCTGGTCTGAGACCTGGACTTGGACTTGTCCCTCCAGGTGTCGTGGAGCTGCTGGTACTCCTGCTGTGCCAGCCGCAGCCGCTGCTCCTTCACCTGGTAGATCTCCTTCTGGGCGCTGAGCGCGTCCCGGGCCACGGACAGGTAGTCCCGCAGCATGGCCTCCTGCTCCCGCTGCCACTGGACCCGCGGGTCCTCCAGCTGGGTGCTCTCTGCAGGAAGAGGAGTCGAGTTAGGAGCCGTTCAGCTGGAAGCACGTCTGCGTCTGTGCGACTCACTGGTGTTGTGGTCGACATAATACGCTCCGACCGCGGGGTCGTACGCCTCCTCCCACCCCACCGGCAGCTCATCGCCGATGCAGTCGGCGAACGTCAGAGGTTTCGTTTGCCTGAAGAGAAGAGAACAAGGAATGAATCTCACAGAACCTCCAACCCAACAGAACACCTCAACCATTCCTTCAGCTGGAAAAATACTGTAGCTGTTTAGTTTTTATAATGTTTTAAAACATAAAGACACACGGCTGTGGCCACTTCATTTATACTGCAATGCATTCTGGGTAAATGACGGGTTGCGAGTGGTTCTGTGCACGCTCCGTTCAGCTTGAATGTTAATTTTGGACATTATTTGAACAGGAGAGGAGAAATGACTAAATAAAAGCTGAATGTAGCAGAATCAGCTGAAACGAGCAGTAAAAGTTTTAAGCAGCTTCAAAGTTTGAAGGATGCGAAGAGCTGCGTTCATTTTCAACGAGGCAAACATGGCCGACAAAGCTAAATATTTGAAAAAGTAAAAAGTGCACGGATGCCCAGTCAGAGCAGGAACGTCCTGAAGGAGCCGAACGTTTCGAGACATGAACTGTTGGAAAAGAACAAAAAACGGATCTGAACCGAGACGATGCAGAAACGTTCAGATGAACCTGGATTTTTCAACAACGTGGTCAGAAAACGTCGTAAAAACTTTTTAGTTAAAACTCGTGAAGTTATTTGAGCAACAAGTTAAATTATTTCCTGCTTCAGTAAAAAGGATGAAAGAAACGAGGCGCTGCAGCTCCGTCGTTTCCACAAGTCAAACATTAAACCTGATCCTGGTTCTTCATGCTCCAGTGTTTTGGACAGAGGAGGGTCCGGGGGGGGGGGGGGGGGGGTGCTGCTCCTCTCTGGAGGAGAAAAGAAAAAGGGCGGGATGGGGGAGGGGTTTCTCTAATGGACCACAATGGCAAGAAACAAGCTCGAGGAATTCCACAAGTCGCCGACGCATCGCCTGGAGGTTTCCACGGCAACCGTGGGCCTGACGGGACGCAGAGACGAGACGGGAGGAGACGCCTGCGACCCGAGGGACACGCTGACTGGAGGAGGGGAAACTGATTCTTTATCACGTGTTTAAAACTAAACTTATTTAAAAATGTTTGTCCGTGCGCTCGTCTGAGCCGAGCCTCGGCGTGCCGTCCACCTGGATCAGGTTCTGGTACTCTACACGGTGACCCGGAGGACGGACCAGCAGAGTCGGGTCTAGAGTCCCAGTTAGACAGAGGAGCCACGTTTGACTGCTTTAAAGTAGGGGTGTCCAAATAATACTCGTTTCCAGACCTGAGTACAAGTACTTCCGTTGGTGTACTTGCCTGTACGGAGTACCGGTAAATGTCTGAACTACGGACATCTTTTATTTGGTTCTGTTCTTTTCAAAGAGGAAATGACGACGTCGAGCACAAAGTGGTACCAGGTCGAAGTATCCGGGTGTTTTTACGAGTACAAATATTCGAGGCTGGTATCAGTACAACTTCTTTCAGTCTCAGGAAAGACGTTTTGAATGGATTTAATGTCAGCGCCCGTCGGTTTGACAGAAACCTGAAATGCATTTCTCATCGACGCACGTCGTCTCCTTTGTAAAAACCGTGTGCACGCCGAAGTCTGTCAAACGCAGACGCTTTGATGTGTCCGAGATAAAAACACGCGTCGCCACCAAACACCGTCCGTATTTGTAATAAATACGTGAAATGAGCAGAGTTGAGTTTTGTTGCCAACGACTACGAGTCGTTTGTTTATTAAACTTGACGAGTCGGGCTTCAATCAGCAACAAACGATCGTTTAATGATCCATAACCGTCTTAGAATAAAAACTGAAGCAAACGAATGAAAAACCTTTGAGCAGACGTTCAGTTGTTAGAACAATTAATTATTAGTTATCATCATCAGTTTAATTATTAGTTATTAGAACAATTAATTATTAGTTATTATCATCAGTTTAATTATTAGTTATTAGAACAATTATTAGTTATCATCATCAGTTTAATTATTAGTTATTATCATCAGTTTAATTATTAGTTGTTAGAACAATTATTAGTTATCATCATCAGTTTAATTATTAGTTATTAGAACAATTATTAGTTTTCATCATCAGTTTAATTATTAGAACAATTATTAGTTATCATCATCAGTTTAATTATTAGTTATTAGAACAATTATTAGTTATCATC